CTCCCCCAACCACTACAGGGACACTGAGGCCCTGAAACCAACAAGACATCCCTCAGATGTCCTTCTGGGGAGTCCCAGCCCCTCTTCCTCCCGAAACAGAGGAAGATTTGCCTGTGCTTCCCCTGAATGCTAGCTCAGATATAAGCAGCACCTGCAGAGCAGGGGAGGAAACTTTGGGCAAAACCAGAGGGCAGCACCCAGCCCTGAGGGGAGCTCACTTGGTGTAGGTTTTCTGACTAAAATGTTGATTGCAGAAACAGAGAAAGGAAGGGAGTACTAACCAGAGAGAGGGGACTACATCCTCTGGTGGACAGATTGTTTAGTACACAATATCTTGTCTGGGTGGTGATGCACACTGGTGGACAAACTGACCAACCACTCATTGTGTGTTCTCCAGTGTGTTTGGGAGAGGCTGAAAGTGATCTGATCCAGATCTGAAATGAGATCTGGATCTTTCAAAGCCCCATTAAATTAAGGAGAGAGAAGGAGCTATCACAGGGAGGGAGAGGAAATGGTAAGCAAAGGCCAAAGGCTCTGCCCACCTACAAGTTTCTTGCAGAAAGTGGTGTGGGCAAAAACACCAAATACTAGGGAAAGCCGAGAAAGTTAACACCTTCAAAAGTTCCAGTGCTTCAAGAAAAAAATCACAAGATACACAAAGAACAGAGCAACAATAGCCCATCCAAATGAACATGACAAAGGCAGTGAAAGTACATCTAAACCAAACAAACCAAAGTCACTGCCATTGAGTTGATCCTGACTCATAGCGACCCCTCCTTGGGTTTCCAAGGCAGTATCTCTACAGATGTAGATTGCCCAATCTTCCTTCCAAGGAGTGGCTGGTGGGTTTGAACTGCCAGCCTTCTGGTTAGCAGTCAAATGCCTTAGGCACTACACCACCAGAGCTCCTAGGGATGACCAAATAATGAAGGAGTGGGGGGAAAGGAAGACTATAATACAACAACATTAAACATAATTAAAGAACTAAAGGAAAACATAGAGCTAAAAAAAAAAAGGAAAACAATGCAAAACCAAAATGATCTAAAAAAATATTGCAACTGAAAGGGACAATAACTGAAATGAGAGACACAATAGAAGGACTTACCAACAGATTTAATCAGTCAGAAGAAAGAATCAGTAAATTAGAGGATAAAAAACTGGAACTCACTGCCATCAAGTCAATTCCAACTCATAGCAATACCCTTTGGGTTTCCAAGGCAGTGAATCTTTATGGAAGTAGATTACCTGGTCTTCCTTCCACAGTGGCTGATGGGTTTGAACCTCCAACCTTCTGGTTAGCAGTCAAATGCCTTAGGCACTACGCCAGGTAAGATAGTTAAAATTACAGATGCTGAAGAGCAGCAACAGAGGCTCAAGAAGGCTGATTACAGTTTAATGGAATTATGGGACAACAGCAAGGCACCTAATATATATACATCATGGGAATTCCAGAAGGAGATGAGAGAGAGAGAGAGAGAGAAAGGAACAGAAAGAACATTTGAAGAAATAATGACAGAAAATCTCCCCAATCTAACTGAGGACAAGAATCTACAAATCCAAGATGCTCAAAGAACCCCAAATAGGATAAACCCAAGAGATCTACACCAAGACACATCACAGTTAGGCTCTCAAAAATTAAAGAGAGAACCCTGAAAGCTGTGAGAGAGAAGCAAACAAGTCACATACAAAAGATCCCCCCTAAGATGAAACACTGATATTTTCCTCAGAAACAATAGAGGCTAGGAGGCAATGGAATGATATATTTAAAGTGCTATAAGAGGGGGAAAAAAATGTCAACCAGGAATAACTATGCCCAGCAAAACTGTCGTTAGAAAATAAGGGTGAAATTAAAACATTCTCAGACAAACATAAACTGAGAGGGTTCATATCCACCACACCAGCCCTACAAAATATACTAATGGGAGTTCTGTAGGTGGAAGGGAGAAGACACTAGAAAGTAATTCAAAGCTATATATAAAAAGAAAGATCTCCAATAAAGGGAAATGCATGGGTAAGTATAAGGGCTAAACCAAAAAAACCAAACCAAACTCACTGCCATTGAGTCGAATCTGACTCGTAGCGACCCCTCCTTGGGCTTCCGAGGCAGTATCACTACAGAAGTAGGTTGCCCAATCTTCCTTCTGAGGAGTGGCTGGTGGATTTGAACCGCCAGCCTTCTGGTTAACAGTCAAATGCCTTAGGCATTACACCACCAGAGCTCCCTAAAGAAGGCTTAAGGCACACAAACAAATAAATAACAGTCTCATTTCTTGTCAATCATTACAGTGAATATAAATGGCTAACTGTTCCAATCAAAAGGCAGAAAGTAGCAGGATAGATAAAAAAAAATACATATATCACCCAATTATATGCTGTTTACAAGAGACACACCTTAAACCCAAGGACACAAAAAGGATGAAAGTGAAAAGATGGAAAAAAATATTTCATGGAAATAATAACCAGAAGAGAGCTGGGGTAGCAGTCTTAATATCAAGCAGAGTAAACTTTAAGACAAAGTCTGTCCGAAGAGATAATGATGGACACTATTTAGTTATAAAAGGGTCAATTAATCAATGAGATTTAGCATTCGTGAATATATACGCACCTAACTTTGGGGCACCTAAATACAGAAAGCAAACACTGACAAAATTGAAGGGCAAAATAGATAGTACTATAATAATAGGTGGAGTTTTCAATATATCACTTTCAATATATGTCAGAACATCTACAAAGAAGATCAGCAAGGAAACAGGACCTGAATGATGCTATAAACCAACTAGACTTAGCAGACATCTGTAGAACACTCCACACCCAAATAGCACAATGTATATTACTCCCACGCACATGGATCATTCTCAAGGATGGGCCGTGTTTTAGGTCACAAAGCAAGTACTGATAAATTTTGAAAGATTGAAATCATACAAAGCATTTTCTCTGACCACAATGCAATGAAGCTAGACATCAATGACAGAAAAAATCTGGAAAATACACAGACATATGGAAATTAAACAACATACGATTGAACTAGCAATGGATCAAGGAAGAAATTAAAAGAGAAATCACAAATTTCTTAGAGTCAAATGAAAATGAAAGCATAACATGCCAAAACTTATGGGATGCAGTGAAGGCAGTCCTCAGAGGGAAATTTGTATCAATAAATGCCTACGTTAAAAAAAAAAAAAAAACCCTCAAATTAACAACCTAGTTCAACAACCCTAGGAACCTAGAAAGAGAAGAGAATGTTAAGCCTAAGCCCGCCAGAACTGAAATAACAAAGATAAGAGCAGAAATAAATAAAATCAAAAATAGAAAAACAATAGACTCAATAAACCAGAAGCTGGTTCTCTGAAAAGATCGATCAAATTAACAAACTTTCAGGTAGACTGCCAGAGAAAGGAAAAGAAAAGATGGAAATAACCAAAATGCAAAATGAAAGCACAGATAACTGATGTGATAGAAACAGAGTATTAAGCCAGAATATTATGAACAACTGTATGACAACAAAATGGATAACCTAGATGAAATGGACAAATTCTTAAAAGCACACGACCTACCCAAACTGACTCAAGAGGAAATAGAAAGTCTCAACAGACCCATAACAAGTGAAGAGATCAAAAATCTATAATAAATCCTACACCAGATGGCTTCACTGGGGAATTCTACCAAACATGTAGAACATAACTGACACCAATACTGTTTAAACTCTTCCAGAAGATAGAGGAGGAAGGAATACTCCCTAATTCATTCTGTGAAGCAAACATAACCCTGATACCTAAACTAGAAAAAGACACTACAAGAAAAGAAAACTACAGGCCCATATCTCTTATGAATTTAGATATAAAAATCCTCAACAAAATACTAGCCAACAGAATCCAACAGTATATCAAGAGTCATATGCCATGTCTCTTCACTTACTATTTCATTATCTGACATTTTGCATTTTAACTATTTGCAAAAATAGTAATAAATCTATCCAGCAGCCAATTTCAACACCTGGAGGCAAAAGTGGGAGGCGGTGCCCGAGGATGCCCACGCCTGCTCTCTGCCAGGACTGGACAGAAAAAGCCAAGCAGGGGATGTGATGCCAGTGGGTGGTGAGCACAGCACCATCTGGAGGGGTAGGTCCACATGGCCTCAGGGGGGCAAGCGGATATCCTACGCTGGCCCAGGCAAGCCAGAGGTCCCTGTGGGGTGTGCAGGAGGAACACGGTGAACTCAGTTTGTGCTGCCTAAGCAGCAACTGCAGCAGGTCGAGGCCCTCAGCTGGGCCTCAGCAGCTCTGTGGATTGAAGCTCAGCGTGAAGAAGCAGGGCAGGGCGGATCCAGCAGTGCAGAAGGAGGGTTGGTGGGGCTGTGGGTGCAGGAACCCGATGACCATGGCCACACGCCCAGCCTGCCTGAGCTGTGGGGGCTGCCAGCTGGAGCAGGCTGGAGGTGCCCACCGCTGGGCATGGGTTCTGTGGGTTGGCCTGTGGTGCAGCAGAAGGGGCTGGGATGCTACAAGCAGCACCAGGAGAAGGGCAGAGGAAGCCCTGCAGTGCAGGAGTTTTGGGACACCCATGCCAAGGGGCAGGAGTGGAAGGAGGGGAGCCCACACAAGCTGCTGCAGCAGCCAAAGCAGCTGCCTGAGTGCAGGGATATCTCCTGGGAACATGAGGAGGAGCTGGAAAGTTCCAGGGAGCAGAGGGAGTGGTACTGAGAGAGCAGCAGACACCTCAGCCAGGTGGCAGTGGTCCTGGGAGCAGTGCCTGCCCACTGGGAGAGACTTGAGCTGGTAGGGACGGCCTGCTGGGACCCAGGGGCCTGAGGGGGTAGGGCTCCTAGGGATGCCCAAGATGCAGGAAACACACCTGGAGGGGAAGGGGCCCCGGGAAGGAGCGCTCCCTCCACCAGGGGCACAGGACCCAGAGGTGGTCAGAGGAGAAGGTGGCATCTCCAGGGCAGAGGGGAGCACAGGATGTAGGGCTGGGGGAAGCAGAGGAGCATGTGAACTGGGGGTGATGGAGGCCACTGCTGGACGGCAGGCTATGGCCCGCAGGACCTTCTTTTGCCACCTCTGCCTGGGCATGAGCATTGGATCCATGTCGCCAGGGAGGCTGCAGAAGGTGGCAGGTGAGGAAGTTATGTGTGATTTAATGCCTGTGGTGGTTACGTTTGTGTGTCAACTTGGCTGGGCCTGGTTGAGTGGCTGGGCAGCTGGTGGTCGTTATTCTCCACGATGAGACTGGCAATCATCTCCATGGTGGGATCTACCACAAGCAGCTGAGTAGCTGCCTTTGGGATGTGGTCTGCTTCCTGTATGTAAGGAGAAGCCTTGGAAATGGTCTCTAGCCTATGGCACGCTTGGACTCTCCATGTAGCCGTGTCGTTGCTCAGCAGCCTGCTATGCTCTGCCGACCTTGGGACTTACAACAGACTTAAGTTAATGGCCTGCCGTGTGGTTTGGTAACATCGAGACTGCGCCTTTTCACTTGTCAATCTTGGGGCTTCTTAGCCTCAGCAGCCAACAGCTGTCTGAGTGAAGAAACGCCTCTAGCTCCAGTGGGCCGGGAACAGGAGGCAGAGCTGGACCCCAAAGTTGAAGGGCTTTCACCCAGCCCCTAGAACCTGGCACTTTGAACTTGAACTTAAAGCCTCCAAATTGTAAGAACAAACTACTATTTGTTGAGGCGATCCCATTTGTGGTATATTCTTGTCAGAGTGGCACTAGGTAACCAGAACAATGCCTATTTTTGCACAACAAACTGGTCTTTGGTACCTAACCATGTTGATAAAGGAGGGGTGAAACCAAAAAACCAAACTCACTCCTGTCGAGTCAATTCAACTCATAGCAACCCCTCCTTGGGTTTCTGAGGAAGTATTTCTATGGAAGTTGTTGTTGTTAAGTGCCGTCGAGTCGTTTCCGACTCATAGCGACCCCATGCACAGCAGAACGAAACACCGCCCGATCCCGTGCCAGCCCCACA